TACACTTCTCTTAAAGATGTCTTTAAAGTCAAAACCCATTATTAGAATAATTTCTGTCTATGTCCAAGCCCTAAATTGATATCATCTAAATATCCTGGCTTAAGCCATTTGGCAACTTTGCATAGTCATTGGAGTCTGCTTTTCATTTTCAAACTGAAAGGAACTCGGGGACCAAGTCAACGTAGGAGATGGGGTGGGGACAGTCAAGAATCAGTAACAGAGCGGCCTGGGATGGAGATAAAAAACATTCCAGCAACCTAGAAAGATGAGTCGGAACCAGTTAGAGGGCGGAGGAGCATGAGAGGCATACAAAGAGATGTCACACTGTGCAGACACGTGGGAAGGTGACACATTGCATGCATGTAGTGAAAGGAAGAGGAAAGGCCTTTATGCAAATACACACAATTCAAGAATTTAATAATCCATCCATATTCACTAGTACAAGTCACAGCAGGCACCACCCAGCCGAGAGTAGAATAAGTGATACTGAGCTATGCTGTACCCAGGCCACTTCTTCTGTAATGTATTTACTCCAATAGATAGGGAAAAGATGGCATATTACCTACAAACTTAGAAAAATAATACAGATAGCATATAAGTAGATAGATATGATCATTTACTCAGAGATGATTAAAAATGAACTTCACAGGTCCAACACTTACACATGCGAGTATTAGTCAAATAAATGTGTACCTTTTCTTTCCTTAAGTTTAATGCACATTAAGTATGATCCTCTTTTGAGGAAATGCTGCCAAGTTCTCTCAGCTAATGGATATTTTTAAAATACTGGATTTGACCCCTGGTGGTGCAGTGGTTTAAGTACTCATCTGGTAATAGAAAGTTGAGCGTTGGGGCCCACCAGCAGTTCCACAAGAGAAATCAGCAGCCAGGGGCTTCCGAACCGATCACAGCCTGGGGACGCCTGGGGGCCAGTTCTCTCCAAAGGTCCCTATGAGTTGGGGTCGACTCAGTGGCAATGAGTGTTAACTCATCTAAGGCAATTTAAATTTGAGTTCCACAAATCCCGCTGGATGTTAATTGACTGTTAGAACAACCTAGAGTCCTAGACCATAAAGAATACTAACGGATTTTTGACAATGATTTAACTGTATAGTTTGGCATTTTCCCATAATTTGGATCTTCACGTAGTCATTTGCCAAAACATAAAATATAACAGATGTCGCTCTCAATTCAGTTCAGTATTTATTACATAATCTGTTACCAACTGGTTGGTGTCTTGGGCTGCCATATTGACTGCTTTGAAGAACTGCTTGGGAGAAAGGACAAATTTAACATAATACAAAGAAATAGTTCAACATGTGAAAATAGAGGCTGAGCTGTCTGGTTAAGACCAGTCATTTCTCATCGTGTCTTTCCATCAGACTCTGCCAGGCAGAGTTTCAAACGACACATTCACTCTCAGAGATTCGGATTCAGTGGATCCTTTTTAAAAATAGTGTCCCCCTCCTGGCCCCCATGATTATGATGTAGGTGAGCAGGGAAAGAAGCCACATGCTAAAATAATTTAGTAATGGTATGGATGAATGGAGATAACTTCTTGAAATTAGAATAAAGTATCTTAACATATACCACCAGAGTCAATTAAATTCAATTGGCAACTTGAAACTTATGCATATATATGTGTCTCTCTATATTTTTTAATCATTTTATTGGGGGCTCATACAACTCATCACAATTCATACATCCATCTATTGTGTTGAGCACATTTGTACATTTGTTCTGCAGATATTTTTGTCCAAATCTGATCATTGTACAAGCTAGTAATAATTTAAATTGGTAATTATTGCAATGTCAACAGAATCCTCCTACATTCAATTTAACGGATTGAGATAGCTAAGGTTTATTGTGCCAACCTGGCCGATAAACACATGTGGGATTAATTGAAGGGCAGAGAGATAAATAGCTCGGTGAGCCTCACCTTTTTAGTTCTCAGGTCTCTTGCTTTCTGATGGTTGTACCAGGGTGCAGCTGCCTTAGCCAGTTCCCTGCTTCAGCTGGCAAGGCTCACTTCCTGTGAGACATCTCTGAGGAGAAGCCACATGGACCTACCCTGATGCAGCCCTGGGTGCTGGAGCAGCCGTGTGGAGACCCCTGCCAGTGCTGAGATGCTTACACGTTCACTGACTCAACTTTCCTCTTGCAGTCGGTGTTATTGCATGTGTTTCGTGAGATTGAGGAGGACTTTGTAGATCAGTGTTGGCCTATTATGGGCTAATAATGTTGGACTTATGGGCTTGGATAGCACTGGGCTGGGATGCTTTCTTAATATACACTTACCCTTTATATCGAGGGTGTCAAACTGGCGGCCCATGGGCCGCATGTGGCCCCCGAGATAATTTTTTTGTGGCCCATGATGCTCTGAAATAAAATGAAAATAGAAAAAAATTGTTATGAAGAAAATAGCACTAGGGGAGATTGAAGCAATACTGTACACACAATTCCCTCATTACATTTTACTTCAGAGCATTGTGGGCCACAAAAAATTACCTCAGGGGCCACATACGGCACGTGGGCCACCAGTTTGACACCCCTGTTTTATGTAAAGCTGTCTCTTACATAGATAAGAGTTTCTGTGGATTTGTTACCCAGACTAACACACTACTCTATTTCATAGTTGTTTTAGAAGTTCCATATTTTTTATTTATCAGTATTTCCCTCTTCTTAATAGTGTATCCCATGAATTCACAGAAACCCCTTGGTAAAATAGCATGGTAGACTAGGAACTTGTAAAATCAAACCCCCCCAAATCCCCATTGGCCCTAGTCCCTCTGTGTTGTTACTTTTAGTTGCTGCCCAGTAAACATGATGCATAATAAAATGGAACATCTTCAGGACTACTGGTCTGGCCAGTGTTATGATGATCATTTTCACCCCCGACTTTTCCAGCCATTAGCCTATTTCTGGTGATTACCATGTATATATATATATATATTTTTAATTAATTTATTTATTTATATATATTCTTGTATGAGCTGAGTTTTTCCAGCACATTGTAAATGCCGTTGTGGTAAAATTAGGTGCCTCTGCTGATATTTGGGTTTGCTTATACTCAAGTATATACGGTAATCTTTCCTGGTAACATGTCCAAAGTAAATGAGCTGAAGTTTTACAACCTCATTTCTAAAACTCGATGTCATTGAGTGAATGCTGACTCACAGGAAACCTTCTAAGTAGAACTGTCCCTGTGGGCTGCTAAGACTCACTCTGTAGAAGGACAAAGCTCACCTTCTCCTGCGAGCCGCTGACCTGTGGTTACCAGCCCAGAGCACAGCCCACTCCGCCAGCAGGGCTCCTCTCATCCCTAAGGTGCATGCTTCCTTTCTCTCAATGATGGTCAGCACACAGTGAGGAGGCCAGAGTCCTCAGGTGCATCACCAGACTCTTTGGAGCACAGTGTTTGGATGGTGATGGGAGGCTCCCTATACTTGTACTTTATTAGGATCACATGTGCCTCCCCTTTTGGCACACATTCTCTTGATTTTCATAAGAAAATTCACATTTTTGTTTTCTTTTTCTTTGCTAGTAGCTCCACTTCTCTTACCAGTTCCTTAAATGTACCTTTCCTTATTGTCTCATTTCTCTTTTTGTCCTCTATTTTTTTCTTGGGTGACTTGGTCTTTTTCATGATAATGACTTCCTGGATGATAAGGGGTAAGATTTCTCTGCTAGCTCTAGTTCAGCATTGTCCAGTTCTGGTAGCCACATACGAAGGCAAATCTAAATGCATGAGGTATAGTTAATTAATTTTACTTAACAAATAAAATACTCAAAAAATTAAACATTTAAACATGACAAATGGAATTATAGAGATATTTTAGATTAATCTGATTTGTATCTTACATCTCAATTATTGTAATTATTGGACATGCTCGATCATTATTAAGATTTCAAAAAATACACATTTGAAAGTACACTTAGATACTCACATGTTCTAAACATTTAAAGTTTTCCGATAACTGAATGGAGTGTCCAAAAGCCAGTTTCCTATAGTATTCATGTCCACATTGACAAAATGTATTCATCACTTTGGAAATTGGTTTTATTTGTAGTCAAAGTATGTTCATTTTGAAACTATTATGTGTCCATGTCCAGTAAATTCACTCTCTCATGTTTCAAACCAGTGTTATTAGCATGGATTCACAGGGGTGTTATATGAAATGAAAAGTAACTCAAAAGTTATCAAGATCCACAAGGTGTTCTTCAAATTCTTTTGTAATTTTTGCCGTTTCTTTAGAGAATGCTGTCAATTACAATGAAAACAATTACTGCTAGATTTTAGAAAAATGGGTTAATTCATTATTACTGATTTGTATTTTGAGAAGTTTCCATTTCAACATAAATTCTTTTACTTTTCCAGTCCACAAAATTAACTTCCAGTTTTCCTTGCTACTTCAAGTTAGCTCGTTCATATGCAGTGTGATATTGGTGAGAAAACATATCATTCTGCCATTTTTGTCTTTAATTATTGAATAATGAGCAAATATATCTTTTCTTTTAAAAAAGTCTTCAATTGGACTTAACCATTAGTAAGTGTTGGTAGAACTCTCTAGAAACTCAGATAATACGCACTGTGAAAAAATGCAAGACTATTAGCTACTTGGCCTTCTCTTTCCTCTAAGAGTCCCTTGAGCGGGCAGTACTTCAGAGCAGTTGCATGTTTGTGCTTAAAAATACTAATAACTGCATCTGTGACACTGTCATAGCATTTGCTTCAGAAAACGGACATGAAGTTTATTAATATGTACATATGAACCTATGTGTCATCTGAAGCAGTGAGACAAACACCAGCCTGGAGTTTTTTTATCAGCATAGCTGGAAACATAACCATGCCCGGGAGATAGAAAGAGCGTTTTCATAACCAACTGAAATTTAAGTTGTTTGGTGTAATCTGAATTTTATAACTGTATTTTGATTACTTGGTACCAGGTTCTGCTCATGTTGCTGATCCCTTGTCTCTCTCTTTGTTTCTCTCGGTCCAGCTCCCACAGAGGCCACTCTGCACCCTCAGCTAGGTGAGTGTCGAAGATCCTGATGTCATAAGGCTGTAACACAGGTTCTATTAATCCCACTCCTCGGCAGTGTGGGAAGGTGGTATGGAAGTGAGGAAACACTGTTCCTTCTCTGATGTGATAAAGTAGTCACTGAATCTAGAGAAATAATGTGCTCATTTCTCTAGTGAACCCGCTTAAATGGAAACATTAATGTTTTTATGATGGGCACCACGTAAAGTAATCACCTCATTTGTTCTCATTATTATTATTATTATTTGTAAGGCCTTGTATTTAGTGACCCCGAGTTCTTGAGGCAGGGTAAATAGTGGTTCAGAGTACATATTTTAATATATTTTAAAGAATGTTTTAAAGCAGCAGTTCTTAACCTGTAGATCGTGACCCTTTGGGGGTTGAATGACCCTTTCACAGGGGTCACCCGATTCATAACAGTAGTAAAATGACAGTTATGAAGTAGCAACTAAAATAATTTTATTGTTGGGGGGGGGTCACCACAATATGAAGAACTGTATTAAAGTGTCACAGCATTAGGAAGGTTGAGAACCACTGTTTTAAAGATTTAATATTTGAAAAGAGTCTATATCTTAACCTTTAAAGCTTATTACACGAGTGACATTTTGCAAGGTACTTAACCTTTCTGTGCCTCGGTATCCCCATCTGTAAATGGAGGTCATAACCCTACTTATTTTATAGGACCATTGTCCACTGCCTTAGGACCCATTGCCATTGGGCAATTCTGACTCATAGAGACCCCGTAGGACAGCGGAGAAGTGCCCCGTAAGGGTTCCCGGGTTGTAACCTTTAAGGAAGCTGACTGCCTCCCCTTTTCTCCCTTGGTGGATTCACACGTCTGACCTTCTTTCAGTGGGCACTCAAGCGCTTTAACCACCTACCTCCAGGGCTCCTCATAAGGTTGCTCTCAGGACTCAGTGAATTTGTATTTGCTGTGTGTGGACAGTAAGTCATATGTAAGTGTTTGGAGAGAAGCATGGGGGGAAATCACTACAGCTTACCCGTCGCCTTTGTAAAGAAGTGGTCTTTAAGAGTTAACTTTCTCATGTGAGCCAGTGCAGATGACTTGCTTTACAAGCAACTCCCTACACTACACTACTTAATAGGAAGGGAAAGATTGTGTGCTCGCTGGTTCCAGCCTTTTCAGATGTCTCTCACTGTGGGACCTCCAGATAGGTCAGTTATTTGTCTCCTGGGCTTTTCCTTTCAACCTATAAACCCAATTAATTTATTTTTCTCTTTGGAAAATCTGCCTGGAGAAGCTCTACTTTTATGTGATGCTACAGCTTGGGGCTCCTCTCCTTTGGCAGAGGAACATGAGCACTTAGAAGCATGCCTGCTGGCAGCCAAGACGGGCTGGTGGCCCGCAGTGGCCTTGCCGCCTCTCCGCCAGGTTGGGTATCTGAGAGAGCCGCACCCTGTAGCGTTCCAGGCACTGCAGCTAATCGCTGAGAGGCATCATTAAAACACTCCCATGCGCTGAATAAATCACAGCGTTCTCGCCAGCGTCAATCCACAGCCTTCCTGCTTTCCTGCCAAAGGCTCCGTCTGAGCCGCCATTCCCCTGCAAGCATGCTGATTCACTGGTTCCCAGTGACTTCGTTATGTGCTTACCTGCTGGCACACCTGGTACAAAGGGGCCAGAGCCTGCCCTGCCACCGGCAGCGATGTCACCAAAGAGAATGTGAAATTGGGCTTCCGGATATTTGGAGGAGACTTTAATTACCAGACAACGTGAGAGGATTATTTGGGGGTACACTAAAAAGAGTAAAATATCCCTTGAGAAAAAGAACTACAGGTCTTGGCAGTTTTCTGTTAGTTTTTTTGTTTTGTTTTGTTTTTCAAAAAGCGTATCTTCAGTTGTGCTGACAAGATTGCAAAGGAACGTGCTAAGGTGTGCACACCACACAGGTGTGATTGAGCTGTTACAGACTTGTCTCTGGTTTGGCGGAAATTTGTGCTGCCGCCATCGTAGATTCAGTTCTAGACTGGAAGGGATACTGAAGGCCATCAGACTTGGGGTTCCAGCAGGCTCTACCTGACCAGTAAGCCTACTCACTTTTATGATTTTAAGTTTTGTTCCACATTTTTCTCCCAGTCCATTCAGGCCCTTCTAATATGATCCCTTTCAGAGCCGTTGGTAATGATCGTACAGTCAACCACTTAAGATCAAAAGGCACCATTTATTCAAGGATGACAGGGGAAAAAAAGCCCAATGATAATTTTTATGTACTTTATACAGATACATACGCACATATTTCTACACTTTTAGTCCCGTGATGTTTATTATGTTCATCATGTTGCCCAACCGTCCCCCTACCCATCTCCTGTTCTATGTGTAATTTTAATATATTAAAAATATATAAAGGAACAGAGAACTTTGATTCCCTGAGATAAACTTCCAAAGCAAACTGTGGGACTCAGATGAGAGGATATTTTTAAGTACTAGATGAATATTTTACAACCTTAGCTGTGGTATTGCCACAGACACGAGCACACTTATAAACTGCCCGTGAAATCTTTTTTATCTGCCTCCCCCTCTAGGGGAAATACCACGTTCTCTGGAGTTCAGGAGTCATTCTTTGCTGTCGTCCTCCCCAGGGTTCTGCTGGAGCTCACACGTGGATCTGTGAGACAACTCAAGTGCAGTGATCACATTTTTAAAGCCATGAATGCATCCTGCCATGTCTCCTGATTCCTAACATGACTTTCTTCGGTGGCTTATTTATTTATGTAGATAAATTCCCTTATGTGGTTCAGAGGGGAAACAAAATCAACAAAAGAAAACACATTAAATAAAATATGAATGAAACTAGGGAATGAAAGAATCAGCAGGATGGGGTAATAGGAATGAGAAGAAATAGGTCACTTGATACCAGCAATTTTAGCTGATTATAAATGGTCAGGATGAATGATGAGAAGTACAACTTTCCTCTAGTTCCTAAATGTTTCCTCCCCACTCCCACTCCCATGACTCAAATTCAACCTTGCAAGTCTGGCTAGACCAGAGGAGGTACACTGGTACAGATAGGAACTGAAAATCCAGGGAATCCAGGGCGGATGAGCCCTACAGGACCAGTGGTGTGAGTGGCAAAACAGGGAGGGTAAAGGGAGAATGGGTAGGAAAGAGGGAACCGATTACATGGAACTGTGTGTGACCTCCTCCCTGGGGGACAGACAACCGAAAAGTGGGTGAAGGGAGACGTCGGACAGGGCAAGATATGACAAAATACCCATTTATAAACTATCAAGTGCTCATGAGGGAGGGGGGAGTGGGGAGGGAGGGGAAAAATGAGGACCTAATGTCGGGGGTTTAAGTGGAGAGAAAATGTTTTGAGAAACGATATACAAATGCGCTTTACACAATTGATGTGTGTATGGATTGGGATGACAGTTGTATAAGCCCCTAATAAAATGTTAAAAAAAATAAAATAAAATAAATGGTCAGGATGCTCTGTCCCTAATGTGCTCCAAATGGCATCACATCTGTTCTGGGCAGTGCCTTGGAAGCCATGGGAGGAAGAGTGTGTGTTGAGACATGAGAGACAAGTGCTGGGAGCCCGGTCTTTGTAAGTTACTGCTGACCTTGACCTTCACTTTAGGAACTCTGGGTTCTAGACTTCTAGGTGTCTGAACAGGAACCCTTGGCTCAAATGCTGGCCCCCAGACAGACAGTTTGGAGAATTACAGTCTGAGAAACTCACAGGGGGCAGTTCTACCCTGTGCTAGAGGGTCGTGAGGAGTCAGAGTTGACTCAGCGGCAGCGAGTTTGGCTTGACTCTTATCTAGAGACACCTTCCAAGAAAGGCCTAGCCATTTGAACAGAGTACAGCTTTGAAAGCCCGGAGGAACAGTTCTCTACACACGTGTGGTCCGCGAGGCTCGGAAACAACTCAGTGCCAACTGATAGCAACCACACGTGTCTAAACCACCAAGGTTTTACCCTGCTGGCCACTTAGTAATTTGGGGACAGAGCAACTAAGATACTCCTTTAAAATGCAGTTGCAATTCTAAATACTGTTGTTCCTCGTAAATGCAGCTTGAGTACACGTTTGTGTATCTATTGTTGTGGTATAATTCTTTTTCTAAGTACTTTCTTGTTTTGTTTTTTAGCTGAAATACATAGTGACAGCATTATTCTGCGAGATGACTTTGACTCTTACCAACAACTGGAATTGAATCCAAATATTTGGTAAGTTAAAGGAAGACGTGTCACATTAGCTTGTTTCATGCAAAAAAAGAAAACAATACTGATTCCCCTCTAGGAGTAGCTAGTTGGACTTAGACTGTTCTTTGGTGCTGCGAGAATTGTTAAACCCAGGACTTAACCTAAGCCGCCTCATGTTCGTTTGTTGGCATCTCTAGGAACTGAATTTACATATTGCTCCAAGCCATACGACTTGTTAGACATTTTCCCCACTGGTCCATGTTCTTTACATAGAAAATAGCATGCTCTGATGTAGCTAATAACTGCATGTTTACAAAATGAGAGCAGGGGTATGGTTTATTTGAAATAACCTGGGACTTTGGTCACAGTTTTCTAGTCTGCCCTTGGAAGCCTGCTTAGGGTGACTGCAGGAGATGTTTGAAGGCAAAGACTCAGAATTCCATAAAATCTTCTCGAATATATAAATTGCTATGTGAATTTGTTGGAGATTCGTCGTGTTTTTGCTGATTTCAGAGACCTCTCTGGTGACCCAGAGCTACAGTCAAATCTACTATTTGGAGGGATATCCACATTTGGACTTTCTGTGACATTAGATGCCTTGCATAGACAACGGAGAATTCATGATAAATTAGAAACGCTCCAATATAAGTCGTCGTTGAAGTCTAAGCAATACTCAAGATTAAAAGAACAATTTCTTCTTTAAATGTCAGCATGTGCTATTCCTTCCTGTTTTTCCTTCTGCTCACTTGTTCAACTCCTGACAGTTATTCCATCTATGTAGCAAATAAATAAGGGATATGGGTTTTTTTCCCTCTCAAGTATCTTTTTGAAGAGGAGACAGTAAAAACAACTAAAAAAATTGATAATCCAGGGGAGAACTCCTAAGTGTAGTAAAGAAAATCCAGGTCCACTGCCTTTTCGTCCATTCTGAGTCACGGCCATCCTTTCGGACAGAGGAGAATGGCCCAAAGGTGGGCAAAGGTTGTAAATCTTTATGAAAGCAGGCGCCACATCTTTCTCCTGGTGTGAAGCAGAATTCTCAGTAACTTGCTATAGGCATTCTGATAAAGGAGAGCTGATTTCCGGTGGGCATTTGAGTGTTGAAGGTGATATCTGTATAGTGAGCCTTGGGGCTTCAGTGCTAGAAAAAGGACCTTCTATGTCTTTTCTAGAAATAAATTTAGATAGTATAAGGGGAAAAAATCAGGCTAGGCAGAGTCACAGAATCTTAGAGTCTATATACCATTTAGTCAGAACTTTAGTTCTTATGACTATAACTTCAATAGAAATGTCTTAAAATAAACGGAGAATCCTTATTAAGAAAAGGCAAAACAGAAACAACCTTCCTACGCACATTTTATCCATGAAAACGCTCCACCTCTGACATTTTGCTTGTTTATATTCCATTAATGTAGATAGCCCCACACCAAACTCAGGCAGACCAGTCATTTCTGACTCACAGAGCCCAAGAGAGAACTGCCCTTCAGGGCTTAAGTCTTTCAGGGAAGCCGACTCTCATCTTCATCCAGCCGAGCAGCTGGTGCATTTGAACTACCAACCTCTTGGTGAGCAGCCGGAATGCCTCACTGCTGCCACCAGGGCACCTCTTCATTAATATAAGCAACAAAAACTCCAAACCCACTGCCACCAAGCCAGGGCCCACTTCTGGCAGCCCTGTAGGGCAGAGTAGAACCATTGTATAGGGTTCCGGAGACCGTCAGTCTTTAGGGGACAGACAGACAGCCTTATTTTCCTCTCAAGGAGCGAGCAGCTGGCAGGCTGCAGCCCAACTGAGCACGCGAGGGCTCCTATTCCATTGATAGAAATGTTATCAAATGATTTGTTTCTTTCAAAGCAAATTCATTTCTGTCAAGCTAATTTATTTCCCTCAGTGATTTTTTCTGTCAGATACAAAATGTGACTTTTATGTGGTGAAAATCCCGTTGTTTTTCTTTTAAATCCATAAAGTGTGATTGATTTTACTTCACCCATTTGTATGACTGATCTGAAATATGCTTCCTTGACCAAAGTTATGGATTTTGTGTCCTCTTTAGTTAAGCTATGGTTTTTCCTTAAAAAAAAAAAAAAAGCAACAACAAAAAAATCCATTTTTTAAAAAAACTAAAATGGCATCTATTCCTGTCTTTTATCAAATGTGTTCAGGGTAATGTTACTTCATCCCGTACTGTCCATCAGCCCCGTCGCGTAGCCTCTTTGAGAATAAGATGCAAACCAAACACAAGAGGTGCGACTCCCGTGACTTGAGTGGTGTGGCTTTGTCATCGAACGATGGCAGAGGCTCTGAGGGTAGGCCAGTCTGGGCGCCGCCCCAGTGAGTCCCTGCCATTGGGGTGCCCTGAGAAAAGTGAAGAGCGGCACCATCTCTGGGTCCCCTTTCCTCATCAGTGAAATGGGACCACTACCCCGCTCACGGATTGCTTTCAGGTGAGACAGGCGCACGAGCAGAAGCTCTGGCGCTCCGCCTGGGGTCTTGTAGCTTCGCAGCACGTGTGACCTCTGTTCCTCTCTTCTTCCTTCCCTTTCTCCCTTCCTCTGGCGGTGCGTTTGCACGTTGGACTACTTGTTCCCTCGAAGCCCAGCTATAATCAGCAGCAGCATCATAAATAGACGCCATTAAAATAACCTTCAGCTAATTCATTTGACGGAGCCCCTAAGTCCTTCTTCATTATATTTGGAAGATAAACACTAATACAGACACGCATCAATGAAAATAGCACCATGGCCAAATCATAGGAGAGCACTCCCTGCCCAGAACACCACGTCCATTGTTATCCCCTTGAGTCCCACTCACAGTGAGTGCCCTGGTATAGGGTGTCCGAGACTGGGAGCCAACAGCCTCATCGCTCTCCCCTGGAGGAGTTGATTGCTTCGTCCTGCTTCTACTGCTGTCCTTGCCATCAGCAGCCCAATGCCTCACCACAGCAACAACAGAACTATTAATAAATGCTTGGAACTCCGTGAAAGATCATTTAAAATTCCCAGAAGTCAGAAACCAACACGCAGTTCAGTCAGACTCCAGTGAAGTATTTTCAATAAAGTAGATAGATTTTCCTCCTTTTAAATATTTTCTCTGATCTTTGCACCAAACTCACTGCCATCAAAGTGATCACAACTCGACACGATCGAGCTGCCCCTGTGGGTTTCCAGCCTGTAACTCTTCACAGGAATGAAAGCTTCCTCTTCCTCCCGGGGAGCAACTGGTCATTTCACACTGCTGACCTTGAGGTCAGCAGCCTAACGGATAATCATATGCCACTAGAGTAATTAAAAGTCCACCAGATATAATCTAAGCGCCTGGGTCAATTCCCATGACTCACCAAATAATTTCTCACAAGGGAAAAATATGCTCCTTCTATGAGGATCGTTTTCCCAGGGATGGGGGGGGGCGCGTTCTGGAAGTTTCATATGCATTATGTAATTTGTAACTTTTTAAGGCAAGGAAAAAGAGAAATTAAGACAGCGATTGAAACAGAACCAAGAAATATTATTTTTATGTGAGCTCAATATTGAATGCATTGTCTAGGAACTTAATTTAAGTAGTCAATTTGACTGAAAAATTAAGAAATGCACATGATGACATGCCCCACTAACAAATATGCAAATATAAACATGAAAAAGTAAGCCTTCCTCCTGCGCTTCACCATAGTCCCTTTCTCCCAAAGTAGGGAGTGTTAACGGTGTCAGAATCCTTCCAGGAAACATCCATGCTTCTCCAGGTGTAGCACCGTGAATTCTCCCGAGCAATGTGGCTATCAGGAAAATGAAACTTGCTTCTGTCAGAGCCGAACCAAGGCCACTGTACCTTGTGTATTCCAGCTCTCGGCGACTGCGTATATGTCAGAGGAAAGCCGTGCATGGAGGTTTCCATGCTGTTAAGTTATGGAGCCTGGGAGGCACAAGTCGTTTGCCTTCATCTGCAAACCTCCCAGTGCAGCAGACAGGAAAGGCCTGGCAAATTACTCTGTCAAGGTCACAGCCAAGAAACCCTGTGGGGCAGTGGTGATTTGCTACTCCTGAGGTAATCAGAGGTCAAGATTGACCTGAGGGTCATAGGCTCTAGTCTTTTCAGAGAAGATTGCCGGGCCTTTGTTCATCATTAACACAAGGTGTAGACTGCTAGCCTTTCAATTAGCAGCAGAGGACAAACCTTTTTGGAGCTCTTCAGAGACCTTTATCCCTCCACAGCCCAAATTAATTTCTTCTTATTATTGCATTTTGATCAGGCTGGCAGAACTACCAATTCAGGCAGTTCTAAATTTTCTGCTCCCTTTTCACTAATGAGATAGCTAAGTTTTGGAGAACTTGAAAGGGAGCCTGGTGGACTTAGTGGATCACATGTTGGGCTGCTAATCACAAGGTCAGCAGTTCAAACCTACCAGCGGCTCTGAAGGAAGAAGATGAGGCTTTCTACTCCATAAAGATTTACTGTCTTGGAAACCCTCAAGGGAAATTCTCCTTTGTCCCGGGGTCTCTATGAGCCAGAATCAACTCCATGACTGTGAGTTTCAGTCCAAAACAAACAAAAAACAGGAGGCCTGGTGGCACTGTGGGTTAAGTGTTGGGTTGCTAACCTTGGGGACCCTATGGGCAGTTTCCTAAGGATCGACTCCCCCAGAAGCCCTACGGGGAAGCTCTTCTCTGCCCTCTAGGACAGAATGGACGCCACAGCAGCGAGTACAATTGCAAAAGCAGGACTACATCAGAAATTCTGCTTCTAATCTGCACCACCCAGCAGTTTCTTACACAATCAAAGCCTCCTTTCAAATTTTCAATATCTGACAGGGATGGAGCACCCAGGAAACAGGGAAAGCATAGGTTAATCTGTAAATAAGCACAGTAAGCCCATGATTAGCTTGCTTACTGGTCATCCACCCCTGAGGGTGCAATCTGGTTCCCCTATCAGGTATCCATTGGTTACTCCATCAACTCATCTAATTCTTGTTCACTGGTCCATACAGGCAGCTTCAGTCCCTGTCCTAACCACTCCTTCAAGGTCAAAAACC